CCTCCATGCCACGCCGCATTGATGCAGTAATTCATGCAAAAGGAGCCCCTACCAAGTATTGAGTACATGTAGAGTAAATGAACATACTTTCCAGAAGGCCAACAATTCACTAAAAAATTTTTTTTTTATTGGTCTTATGAAGTATTCTAATTTGTTGAGATAGTGAATTGGTGGGTTTTTGTTAAATGTGAGCCAAAATCATCACAATTAAAAGAACCAAAGACTTAAACTACTTCAGTCTGTGTGCACTGTATTTATTTAATACACGAGTTTCACAATTTGAGTTGAATTACTGAAATAAATGAACTTTTCCACGACATTCTAATTTGAGATGCACCTGTATTACCTATTCCTGCTAACTTGACCAAAACATTTGTTTGTATGTTAATAAAATTAATTATACAATCAAAAACACTGTTTTTGGAAAGTAATTTTTCACTCAATATACTCATCTGCACATTTCATACGTTTTATCTTAATTGTATGAACAGTTCACAAAGGACTTAAATTGTCTGTTATACCCAAAAATGATCATGTCAGTCCACATCCTCTTAAATGCATGCAAGAACAACACATAAGCAGGGTGATTTATTTTTTTGATTTTGTATTTTTGTAAAAAAAGAAAAAGAAAAAAAAAAAAAGAGGAAGACATCTTATCATCCAAAACATGGCATTACAGTGGCAAAAGAGCTCAGTCTGCTTTACAGAGGCACACCATTGATAACGCAGAATTACTTGTAACCCAACTCGACTAAATCGTTTTTCAATCAAAATGACATAAAACACATAAAAACAAGTAGTTTCATACCATGGTTGCTTGAGTAAAACAAAGCTCTTCATCATGGTTTACTAAACACCAAGCATTTTAAAAGACCTACACTTACCACAGAGCTGATGACAATGGGTAAAAAAAAAATGAAAAGAAAAACAGAAACACTACACAAACATATCAAGGGCCCAAAAAGGGTCAGACATTTCCCAATATCACTACTTACAAAACAACCATCTCCAATGATCCTGATGGATGTCATTAAACCTTGAAATGCCACATAAACAGGCAGGTGTGACAGTCTGAAGTGATGCATTGTGGGATTTCAGAGCTGAAGGGCACAGAACTGCTGGTAAACAGCCAGGATATGATGGTCGAGCTCAGCAGTAAACAGCAGGTTCTCAAGGGTGCCCATATACTGCTGGATGATCACATGATGCTGTGGACAACAATGAAGATTGAAGGTAATTAATAAGAGATGTTTAATGACCAACAATACATAGTATAGACCAGCAAACATGTGGATCAGGACTACCATGAGGAAGATCTGCTGTAGCCTCTCGATGCAGTTCTTGTACCAGGTGGTGTTGATGTCTACGCCGCTCGTTTCACAGCGAACCAGGTGCTCTGTCAGTAACATAATGAAGCGCTGAAAGAAAAGGAGATAACAACAGTTCTTTTGTCATCTCTTAGCTCCAGGCACTGTCTTCAAATATCATAATGAAACACAAAAGACACACAGAGAGAAAAAAACATGAAAAGAATGTAATGTTTATTCTTTCCTGACAAATAGGAACAAGGTGTAAAAGGAGTTGTGGCATTAACAGGGACACATCTTTTGCAGCTTTTTTTTTTTTAATGTAGTAATGACGCCTGTATAAAAAAAACGTATTAACAAAAAAGCTTTTTACATCAGGATAAAATGGATCTGCATTGTCAAGGACGCACCTGGAATATAACAAGGAAAAGGTTCTTCTGTTCGCTCTGGGCCGACTCTACTTTCTCCTGCAGCCTCTCGATCTGTTCCTCCAACTGACCCTCCTCATCCTCACTGTTCTTCTCCATGTCCTCTTCATCACCGCTGTCCCGCTGCTACAGGAAGAGAGAAACTTTTCAGATCTCAAACACATAAAGCTCTCAGTAATTAATGGGCATCACTCTGTATCAGGCTTCATATTAGTTGTTTAAAGCAAAGCTTTTAAAAGAACGCACACATACTCAGAGTCATCACAACCAAATATTCTTAAAGGGGTCATATGATGCGATTTCAATTTTTCCTTTCTCTTTGGAGTGTTACAAGCTCTTGGTGCATAAAGAAGATCTGTAAAGTTGCAAACACTAAAGTCTCAAAAAAATATTTTAGCAGTTATTGGTGCAAAATGATTTTGCAATAATTTTCCTTAAAGCTACACTATATTGTTTTTTTAATGATTAAAAGTGATCATTAAATAATTTTAATCATTTCATTACATTTGAGTGTAGTGCCCAAAGGCTTAGGCTGTTTCTCAATATGCGTTCTTCAGCGATCTTGCGTTCATGTGTTCTCGCACTACATCAAAATGCCATACCTGTAAGCTTTAACTTGAAACTTCCTGCTGCAAGCTCGAAATACTTGACGGCTTGTGAAAGTAAAAATTTGTTGTTTTATTTTGAATCATTAAGTTGATAAAGACCTGGAGAAAGCCAATGTTTTCATTGGCACATTAAAATAATCTTAATATTGACAAAGCATAGGTAACATTAAATATACATACTCATTTTCACAAATATACACGGTAAAATAAAAGGTATAAAATATGAAAATAATATCAAATAACTGTTTTAATAGGTTATGATGTTTGTTTGTAATATGTTGTAACTAGTGCTGTCAAAATTAGCACGTTAACGCAGGCAATTAATTGTTCCAGTTAAATGGCGTAAAAAATATTTATACATATATACATTATATTATATACATCTTTACGACCACATCAAATAGGACTAGGCATATGATGGTATGAAGTTTTCATGTTGCGATTAATTGCTAATGATTTTATCACGGTATACGGTATTATCGTGGTATTGAAATTTAGTTGCAAAAAAATGTTGTCAAACAGGTTTAATAACTTTTTTCTTATAACAGAAAAAAACTGAACATTTACATACAATAAATACACAAATGTATGAAAAAATTCACAGATTAAAGTGCAAATGAATTATTATAAAGACCAATAAGTAACACTTTACAATATGATCTTATTAGTTAACCTTTGTTAATGCATTAACAATTAATAATGAGCAATAGCTACATTTGCCACTGAAGTTATTAATCTTTGTTTAAAAAAATACAACTGTTAGTTCATTAAATAACACAGTTGTGCCTTTTGATTTTAACGTGTTATTAAATATTGAAATTACCTGAATTTTACTTATGAATTTTTCATTGGCAGTTTATGTTAACTAATTAATTAACTAATGTTAATTAATAGAGCCTTAATGTAGTCTAAAGTGTGACCAAACAATAAAGAATCAAACATTTTCAAACAATACCTATGGCATGTTGTAGTCAAGATTAAAATGTAAAAAAACAAGTTTTAAAATAAATAGCCTATTAAGTCTAACTATTTAAGTATTTGGTGCTGTGATGAACACCACGGTGAATACAAAAATCTGAATGGCTGTGTTTATACCATAGATATGTATCTATGGTTTAAACTATTTAAATACATTTTTAGAAAGTAGTGCAGCTGCTTTGTTTATGGGGCTCCCGGGGTAACGGCTGCATTTCTGCAGTTTAGCGCCATCTGCTGTCATAGAGTGAATTTGTTTTCATTCAGTGCATCTCCTTCACTCGTTCCGCCATGCGCTTCTCATCCGTGCTTGTTTACATGAGAGTGCGCATGCGTCTTTCACGCAGCATACATACAGCGGTGTTGTGCATTGTGACCAGTTGATGGGGAAAATATTCTCTAAATGCATTCAAAAAATCTGAATAATTTGTAAGAAATAATTATTCACGGTATTTTGAAGTGCCCACGATAACAATATCAT